GCATTCCTGTGCAAGGGACTTGTGCTGAGTTGCTGTTCAGTAGCTACGGTGTGCAGCTCATTCCCCATTTATTTTGCTCTATGCAGCGTCGGTTCTGGTCAGTTTAACCAACTGGATCGATGCCAGTCTGTTCTCTCAAAAGTTTGGCATGTTGTTTTAGCGGTGATCCCCAAATATTTATGCAACAGATTTCTCTTGTATCTGCCAAATCCGTATTTTAGGCTCCTCGAAAGAATGAGGATAATCAACCACAATATGGGAATAAAGCCATCAGGATGACCTTTCAATCAAAAAATATTTGTCAAATGTACCCAGTGACTCTCAGGAACACTCAGGATATGCTGTACTTAGGCATGGGGCAGAGAAGTGTAATAGTATGTGCTTTGCTGGTGTCTGATACTTCACTGATGGCAATATTTGTAAACTCTGAGTTTACATTTGCTATTTCTTGACTCATCTAAATCATGCTTAAGCTCTGGGGTATCTGGAAGCATGGCAAGAAATTTAGAATATAGTATACTAAATTGGGAACAGTGCCCAAAATATAAGGTCATCCCAAATTATACCTCTGGTACTGCAGTGAGCTCTGGGATCCTCCAGCTGGAGGGACCTTTTGAGGTCTGTATGAGTGAAGGATCTATTTGTATGGTATTCAGTGCAGGATTGGACCCTCCAGGACAGAGCCTCACTGATGTAAATGCTGGCACGAAAGCTGATGTCATGGAGCAATGCCAACTTAAATGAGCTAAGGAATCTCCTATCACCCATTGTAATCCATTTAGGCAGCACCCTGTCCCGCAAAGGGCATGAATTGTGACCTGTATGGGAAATAAAACATCATTACATTAGCCGTCCTGTCTGATTTTTGTTTCAGAATGGATGAGAATTATAACCTCCTTCCCCACGGAGTAAATTTCCAGGAAGCAATATTTCCAGACACACAGGAGAACAGAAGGATGTTTTCCAGCCTCTTCCAGTTTTCCAACTGCTCTCAGGCACAGCATGTCCTCACCCTCTCCAGTGATTGGGAGATTCAAGAGGACAACAGGGTAAGGCTTTCCTCTGCGATCCTATCTTAGTACTAAATGAGCAAGGAAAAATCATTCACAATCGCAAGTTTGTGGAACGCACAGCAGTTGCAGTTGATATCTTTTTTTCCTAGACGGTCATGTCACATACAATAATTTAGTACCTCTTTTTGCCAGAGTCAGACTCCATACTTTGGCTTTATGTGAAATGTGGAGGGGAAAAGACCTTAAATTTTGCAGTGTTTGATTCCAAGTCTTCTGTATAGTCAAGCTGCTGACCTCACCCTTGTTTGTCCTGAATGCTCCTATCTTACCTGGGTGTCTCTGGGCTCTAGGTGAGTACATTTGCAACAAGCAAAGTCTCCAAATACATGTACCGCTGATGCATACCTTTATGGTGGGTTTCAGCTTTAATGAGAGGAAAGGGTGTGATAAATTCCAGCTTTTATTCCATAGCAATTTTGGTGAGGGGGACTCATTAAATATTTGCTTATTTATAGAATGAAACCATTGAAATGTTTTATTTTCATACCAGTGGTGGTTTTTCTATGAAGTGAGTGGTTTCCCCAAGGAGCTGAGTGAATTCCAAGTGCCTTTCTGACTTAGAAATGACTGAACATATGTTATCAGTTGTACTGTCTGTCATATGGATTCATACAAGGTCAACAAAACATCAGTATTTACATGCAGTAGTACTGTCTACAACCAACTCCAGTGGTTTCATTGGGAGAGCAATGGTAGGAACTTAATAGCTAACTGAAGGCCATCTATTGCTGGCTAACAGCCAGAATGCAAAGGGTTAGCTGCTGGTTTTCCATCTGGCCAGTGGTACAACGTTGTGGGAACATTGCTCGGGTAAGAGAGCAGCCACCACATGGTGGAATTTTTACAGCGGTTTTTTTGCTAATTTTCAGATTTGTATTTGTGGTGGGCAGGAGCCGTCAGGGGTTGTGGGATCTCTCTTCCTTTCAAACCTTTAGGATGGCTTATCTTAAAAATAGACGCCATAGGTATGGAAGAGATTCAGCTGGTCCCTGTAGTAAAGGCACAAGAATCAGTGTGTGCTGAGCCCACCTCTAACTCAGATGCAGCTTCTGTAAAATACTGTAAAATTTTTTACAGAAACTGTAAAAAAAAAAAAAAAAAAAAAAGAAAGAAAAGAAAAGCTCTGCTTTGAGGCTTGCTGTGCATGAGTATAAATCCTCCTTCTCCCCAAGGGGAGCCTGTCTACTCGCTCCATGTTCGGGGGTTGAACTTGAACAGATGGAACCAGACTCCAGTCTGAACTTCCTCGACTCTGAGACCTTTGCATCCCAGGTATTGACGGGGGCCCAATGGGACTGAATTCCCAAGCTTTGGAAGCCAGCTGTGAGTTTTGGAGGAGGGAAGGAGCTGGGGAGGAGATTTTATCTGAGCCCTCTTCCTACACAGACAAAGCAGAGGAGGATTCTTCAGTCCTTGAAAGCCACTTCTTACCACCTAGGAGCTCTCTGCTGGCATACAGCTGTCAGAGGAGGGTCCTGTCCTAGCCATCCTAATGCTACCTAGTGGCAAGGAAAGGACGTGTTGCGATACAGGTGGGGCAACAAAGAGCAGGGGGTAGGGCACAGCAGCGCTCTGCTAGCTCATTGCACAGGAGTCATCTTAAGAGGACCCAAGGCCAGGCAGACCGAAGCAAAAAAGCAGCCACCAGACTCCTCTAGCTGCCACTGTGGTTGGATACAATGGAGGGTCAGACTTCTCCTCCTCCTTTCCCCCCCCCAGTTTTCCATATGCCCTAGCAGGATTTATTTGGCCATATCACACCCAATCAACTTGTCTTTGATGAGGTAGTGCCCACCGATGCCAGCAGTGAACCTGGCCTATTAAGCTGAACGGAAGTTACGAGGCAAAATTCCCGGAGGGCAGCTCTGGGAAACAGAGAGACAAATGCATCAGAAGTGAGTTTCAGCTGTTTTGCTCTTTGCCCCTTTGCAGCTGTGAGCAGCTTAGTATGGAGTTATGACTGCTTGTTATACAAGTCTGGGCTGAGCTTTTCTTTTTTTAAATAATTCAGCTTACAGAAACATCAAGTACATAAATTATGTCTTTCTGACAGATGCTGGGTCTCCCTTCCACCTCCCTCTGTTATAGGAAAGCCAAAGTTTCCTCTACCTCTGGGGGAAAATCCTGTTCAGATTGATTTTGCTTTCATTCCTCTTGGGTCTTATAATAGCTTTCTTCTTCCAGCTGGGTGCCACCCTCCTCCTGCCTTCTCCCCTCAAGCGTTTTCCAGTCTTGTGAAAGGCACCCCAGCCAGGTTGGGGCTGGAGGGGTATAGAGAGGTGAAGGATTCATTCCTACCTCTGTGTGATAGGGCTGAGACCCTCCTTTTTCATAATGTCATTTCCTTCCTGTGAAAGTGTCTGACCCATTTTGCACAGCTCCGTTTAAACGTTCAGCATCTTTCTTGCTTCTTCCCCCTCCAGACAAGCTCAGGAGATGCCCGTGTTGCTTCTTTGCTTCCACACACACTTGCCTCAGTTATTCTCATCCCATTGGTATCCGAGTTCAATTTCCATCCGTTGGTTCCTTTCAAACTGAGAGCTGTTTTGTGTACGGTTACTATCAATGGAAATGACTTTTCAGGTTTAATGAAGAGTTCTTCCAGCTTTGAAAGAAAAAGCTTTTCAATGGACTTTGCGTGGCAACTCGATGGGACTATTCCTGTGACAGTATCAGGCCTTAGGTTTCCTTATCGGGAGATGCAGAGTTATTCTGCAGACTCATCCTGTCAGTCAGCGTAGATGGGTCTTGCTAGGTGATTTGGGTGGGTATAAACAATTAAATACAACATCAGGTTCTCTGGGAAGTAAGATATAGCAAATCAGGTCTTTAAGAAGTCACTGGAATAACCAGCATAGAAGGAGGCTCAAACTATGCTGTGTTCAAATGTTAATAGGGCTTTATTACTAAGATCTCTGACTGCAGAATGCAAGGGTAGGTCAGACAGGGGGTGAGTTTAAACAAAAAACAGTGCGACTGTGATGGGTTTGGAGTGGAGTGAGTCTGACTCATTCCTTCACGTGGCCTCCTGAAATCCTCTGTTCACTTGCAACCCCCTGTCTTTGGACGTGTCACGGGGGTGGACATTGTGAGGCAGTCTTTCAAAGCTGGAAATGCACATACAATTACACTGCATAGCTTATGTGTGTTTTTACATGATTTGCAGTGCAGCTTTGGTGTTTGCTAGTTAAGGTAAGTGGTCACGGTTGTGCCTGCATGGTTCTGTTCGTATGTCTTTGGAAGATCTGGCCTTTCTGATTGCCAGATAAAGCGGGGTGTCGACATATGGCCTCAGGGCTAGATCTGGCCTGCAGGCCTGCTCTATCTGACCTGCTGGGCTACTAGCAGGCTGTAGCAGTTGGGGATTTGACTACCACAGTCACGGTGGTGTAGGCACAATCCTTGCTCTCCCTTCTCCTACATTGTCCTCAGGAGAAGGGAGAGCAAGGGTTGTGCCTACACCATCCCACTCGCCCTGCAGCCACTTGACCCTCCATGACTGCCGTGCCAAGCGACTGTTTGGCTTGCAGGTGCTTGCCCTACTGCCACTGGCTCCACTGCTGCCACAGCCACTATTGACACTAATCCTGTTAGCCCAGCTGCAGCCACCATCAGCCCCTTCAGTCCTGCAGCAGCTGCTCTGTGCCTCAGTTGAGATCTGGACCACAATGAGTCCTGCAATTCAGATCATGGGGTGAATTTGATACACCTGATTTAAAGAAATCTCACTCTTAATACCCTGAGGGACATCTCCTGGGTGCAATTCAGTTGGATCCTTGCATGAGAATCTGAGTCCTATTGTGTATCGTTGCTGTTGATCATCCACACTTCCACTGAAGGGGGGGGGATGGATTTGGACAGGAGTCTACATTACTACTTGGCACAGAAAACCATCTGATCCATATATATACTCTGTTAAAGTTTATTGAGGAAGTGTGAATAGCTGTCTTTCCTCTTCCCAGCAGTGTAAAATGCAGTACATTTACTCCTCTACATTAAGATAAATCACTTGGTGAAAGTAACTGAATTAGCTTGGCAATTATCCCATCACTGTTTATTAGTGTTATGGGCATCAATGCCAGACTTGTACTATAGGCCAGAGCTGGGACTCAGCTGAGAGTTAATGACCCCTTTCTCATGACTGTTTAGAGGGAGGGGGTGAGCAGAAGGAGGCAAACTATGAGCAAGAAACCTCTGAAACAAAGACATAGCAAAGTAGAAGAAGCAAGCAAGAAGGAGCCTGCCTTGTGGTTAGGGCACTGCTCTGGGAAAGGGGTGTCCTTGTCCTCCGTTCTTGCTCCCACTTCCCAGCTCAGGTTACATGCTGTACATCTGGGTACAACAGAAATAAACGTACAAGAAGAGACTGCAGCCAGGGCTCCTTCCCAGAGGAGTGCCCTCTGCGCTGGGCTACAGAATCAGGGTCCTGCTTCCTTCTCCCAGTGGCCCCATGATTCTTGCACTTCTGTCTTCCCACTGGCCCAGGTTCAACAGGAGAGACTGAGTACGCCCTCCTCCACTCTAGTCTGTAGGCTGGGGGTTAGGGCATTCCCCTGGGAAGTGAGAAACCTGGGTTAAAATGTCCTCAGTGACAGGCAGCCTAGAATCCAGGTTTCAGGCAACTGCGGTAAGCACAAGACTACTGGGCGGGTGACACCTTTTTGGTTGGTGGTCAATTCAGTGCTGTTGATGTGAGACAGGCAGGAGGTGGATGACAACGTTACAGAAGTGCCTAGCTGGACAATTTGAATCTGGTCCTCTGCATTCTCCTTGTTTTTTAATTAAGCCCACGTTTTCAGCATTTTGCTCTAATGTGTTACACTGAAGATCCATGGTAGTTTGAGCTTGCTGAAATTTTTTTTCCAACTATTTAACCTGGTCTCATAAAAGATATCAGATTCACCCAAAGAACCTTGTTTGCCTATGTCCTTAGACCAACATGGCTACAACCTACACCCCTGGGATCTTTTTTGTAG